ACCGAAGGCGATCAATCAAGATACGCTGAGAAGCCAGCAGCCGCAAAAAAGTAATTAAGTGAAAGGGGTATGGTAGCAATGCAGTGCACACACAAGGTATCTGATGCAAAGACAAGGCAAGGCGATGCAGAAAAGTAAAGAACTATGGACAATGCCCCAAAAGACGTAGCGACCAAGGTAATTGCTAGAACTACCGGAGCTCTGCTTCGAAAGGAACGGGGTGAGGGGGCAGAGAAGGAGAGAGGAGGAGATGGTAGTGGTGGAGGAGGAGGAGGAGGAAGAAGAAGAAGAGCGATAAACCAAACGAGGACGAAATAAGAGAGTGACCAGACTGACTGACAAGAGAACAGAAAGAAGGTCAGTACAGAATTCGTCCCAGCAGTGCAGGAGCTTTAATATTCTAGGTCACAATAGACATTTCTCCCCTCTTCTCCCCTACCACCCCCTCCCCTCTCCATTCTTATTGTTTTCAGTCTGATGTCGATCGAATCGAGCAGCAGGATGGATGTGATGCGACAAAGGGCGCTCCCGCCACAACGCCCAAGCTCAAGCACCCTGTTCTGCTAATCTGCTACGGGCTGAGAACAATCCACTTGACTTCTCTTCACGAGGTATCCCTACTCCCCCTTCAGGTGGTGGTAAGGTACGGATATCACGAAGCCAATCTTCTGTTCCCTCTCGGTAACCCGTGCCCCCCAGTCCTGATCCATAACCTATTACCTACTTCTATCCGCCCTGGCCTTGTCGTTGGACTGCATCCGTACGAAGGAAGTTACGAAGACCGCGATTACGAGCTCCGAATACCTTGCTAGGTACTCCTTAGCCACATCCATGACCCATATGCTTAACCGTGTCACTATCATATTTGGGCCTTTGACAGCCTCCAATGGTTCAGCAACCGCAGTACGCGCATTGCCATGCTGCATGCAACATCCTGCTGTCAGGAGGCCGGACATTATGTGGTCCTGGACAGATACGTATGTACGGACTTGCTCCGACAATGGCTTGTTGTAGTCGCAACTGGGCATGTCAAGATGCATCTGTACGCTACAGATACACGTGTACATAGACCTAGAGATAGGACTGGTTCCTTAAAAGACTGGGCTTGTGATGAAGCCAACGGGTGTGAGTGCCTACGAGGATGCAAAGCAAGCAAGGTGCGGCGAGCGGTAAAACGTCGATACGTACTCCCCGTCCACATCCCTGGCGATCCCCAGTCAAACGTCTCTTCCTCTAACCTCTTCTGCAAGGCCAGGTTCTTTAGAGGGCAAGGGAGACGAACAAGGGGCGGCATGACATTGGCAGACCCCCGTGGTGGGCCGGGTACATCCTCTGCCCCCCCCCCAGCCAAATGCAAGCCCGTTGGGATCGTGGTGCACCAATGATCCAATACCGAAAGGGCTACCTGCTGTACGGAGACGGATATAGCCAGTTTGCAACCAGTAGGGTCCATGGATAAAGTAGCCAAGTCGGTACCTTACACTACTGGGCATACCGGCGTCCTGGAGCCAGATGTTGCCGTGTCTTGACAGGCACGCGGCACGCCGCAGGCCCGCACCTCACGCACAGCATCCCTTTTTGCTGTTGCAACTTGTGGGCAGCGTGGTCCAGGAGAGTCAACAGGAGACGGGACACCAAGTGTATCGTGTACCCGCTCGGGTCGCCACAAATGTCGCACTTGTGACGGTACCGAATACTCTGCAACTCGAGCCTATGTTCCTCTACGTCAACAAACGAGACGAGACGAGAAGAGCCCTTCTCTTCACCGGTTGGTATTGTTATTGTTATTGCCCTTGGTCTGTATGCTATGATCAGCTCTTGTCTGGACTTTTGGTCTCCTCTCTCTCGTACACGTGTAGACTGTAGTAGCATCAATGATCACCCACCGCGTGTAAGGAGACCGGGCAGTCCGACATACAGCCATTGAATCGCATCAGATCTGTGCGCGACTCTACTTGTCGGAGGCGTTTGACTGGAACTATCCTCCTTCTATTCAAGTGATAAGAAGATCAACACCATAGGCCAGACTGCGGCCAACGTGGAACTATCTCCAACAAGCGGGCACAACGGCAAGCGCTGGCTGGATCCAATGACAATAGCAATTCATGCAGTCACCATACTGAGGCAGCATGGGAAGTGTCCCCGCACGGTAGTGAGACAGCCACAACAGATGGCCAGGTGGCTAGGTATTGTGATGATACCAAAACCGTGGCTCTCGACTGGGCAGAGGCTATCCGCACAACACGTAGAAACCACAGAGCCATGCGGCTTCAATCTGGTCTCTGCTTTGCCCTGATCGACCGGTGCTTGTGCAGTCTCACTCTCATGTCTGGGACGCCGCTAGGCCGGGGTGGTCGGAGGCGAAACAACGAATCTGTCCGTTTCCCGTCGTCTCAAATCACAAGTCTTTCCCCATATCCCATACCACCGTACACAAATTCTGGCGGCAACAACTTTTTCTGACTCTCTCCTGAATCACTCGTTTGTAGTCGAGTAAGGTACGGCATGCGAGTTTTCTTTCATGTGCGTGTGCATATGTGTGTGTGTTTTCGCCGCCGGGTCTGGCCTCAACTTTCCGCTGGAAGACGCAGGCCGCACCTTGGCCTGTGTCCTGTTCCTGAGCGAGGGGCAAAGTCTAGGTAGATCCTCTTCCAGTGATGGACTGCATTATGCCACTGTGTTTCGAGGATGTGAGCCTTGACTCTCTGCTGCTGCTCGGCTTGGGCGGTCCTAGGCTTCCCGAGACGGCAAGAATGATCCACCGATGACAGCAAGATAGAGGAAGAGAGAAAGCAAGGGTCAGTGGTAGGTAGGTGTGTGTGATGTCTGCAGATCGAGGCTGTCGTCCGAGGTAGCCCGATTGCTGCTGGACGGCGCGATTGCCTTTGGGAAGCGCCGAGACATCCAATGGCTGAACGGACGGCTTATTGGGAGAGAAGATCATGGCTTGACCGCTTGACAGACTCCAGGAAGAAAACCCTTTTTGCAGATCTGGAGCGTCCCATCCGGTAGAACGTCAACCGCCGGCGAGGAGAATCAGTGAAGTGGGGGATGTGACGACAAGGCTCGGCCGTGTGTAAGAAGAACCGATAGCCAAGCCTTTCTTCGGAACGAACCTTACCTCGAGATGCCTTAGCCAAGGTGATATTGGACCAGCACTGATGTGAACAACAAATAGTACAGAGATCCTGGGTGATATCAAAGACATGGCAGATGGGGCTTGCTGTCAGGTGTCTGCGGGAACCTGGAGGGAGAGTGTACGAATGAGAGCTGTGCTGCCTTCGAACATCAATCCACCTCCCGTACTGCTGTTGTTGCGAATTTCCCATGTTCCAAGGTTGTCGCCGATGTTCTTGTTGTTGTTATCATCAGCGTTGCATAGAGAAGGAAGGAGGAGTCGAGCTGGTTTGGACTTATTGCGGATCAAACACCGCCCGCTTTTCTGGTCCGCCACGGGCAGAGTTAACTCACCTTACGAATACCAGGCTTCCTATTCTTTTGTACATGGACCTGCTTGGCTGGCGGTTACCCGGCCCATGTTACTGGGTAACACGTGCTTTTGGTACACACCAAAACTCTGTAATCACACCGTATAGGGGGGAACTTTCACCGATAAGGCACGGCGTTCTAGAAGCTCTGCGGCGCTGCCTTCGCCAAACCTCCTAAGCGGAACAGCGGTCACAGGCCCGGATCCACCGAGCTGGAACACACGCGTACGCAACCATAAAACTCGCTCCTTTTGCTTGCTGGAGGCCAAAGAGAGATGGAAGACTTGCGGTTCTGGAGATAGGTAAAATGTGAGGGAAAAAATAGCTGCTCCGAAAGATGGGATGCGATTACCGCATTTCCGCCCCTACTTACATGTCTACATCAATTATGCTTAAACTAACCCGAAGCCACCCCGAGCAAAATCAATCTAATACCATGCCACCTCGTAGCTAACTATGGCTCTTGGCGGCTACAACTTATTGGTCACCTCATTTCATACCTAGATGTCTTTTTGACATCGCCATCCGGGGCGCAAAGGGACTCGATAAACCAGGGAGATCTTCTCGGGATAATCGAAATTCTACTAAGGATACCCGAAGGCCTGGGCATCAAAGGTAGCTAACGTGAGGTAAAACAGGAGAAACTCCACCCACAGGAGAATGACACCATTTTCCAGTGCCGACCGATGCAAAAAGGCAAGCCACCCAATCCTCCCTCCCACGGCAGACGGCCACGGAGCCGTTTCCAGTTTCCTCCGCAGACGGGAGAGCGTCAAAGGTAACACCGTGACGGGAGACGTCCTGGTCAGAAACACCCGGTAGCTCCTAACCTCGGGGCCTGTCATTGTCGCAGATTTCCCCGTGCCCCTGCCCGCTTCAGGACCCCTGAGGTTGAGCTGAAACACCGCCTCACGCCGCACTTTCAGCGACCTTCAAACGGGCCAAACAACGCCGCCGATAATGACCAATCCACTTTTTCCAGACTTTGGTATGCGACCTGACCCAAGGTCGGTTCGCTACTTTCAGTTTCCCATCGTCGGCCACGGGATAACTTTCTGGCCCTTGTCTTCCGTGTCATGTTGCTGCTGCTTCTGACGTGCGTGGAAAGTGATAGCCTGTGAAGAGGCTCATTGCCGAGCCGGTTCCCGGCTCTCAGCTCCAATGCTGTTCCTGGATGCTGTCATCGTTGCTTCCCCCCGATCAAACCTCGTGATAATTCGCCTGCCACCCCATCGGCCGTCTCGTTTCGACACTCTCCCCAGTCTGTCATTCTCGCCACTCATAACTGAGCGAACCAGTCCGGTCCATCCCTATTGCTACAAGGGCGCAAGCCCCGATGTCTAGACGTCGATGCCGCGTGTTCTTCGTTGGTACCACCCATCTCACCAACGATTGCAGTGTGCCAGTGTTGACATCTCTCCTCCACTGGAACTCCTGAATGAGGCATCACCCACGCCTTGATAGTCGCTTGGCGGTTCCAGGACCCTGTATGCTTCGGTTGATGGGCTGATTTTACGCAGCCTTCGATTCCATGACGGTCCGGATGAACTGCTGCATGTCGGTTGTGTCTTGGCTGTCGTCGTCCATGGCCGCGCCCACCTCCGCTTGACGATGCTGGCTGCACACTAGTTGACCTTTGCTAATCACTTCATCCCACTCGGCCATGGAGAAAGTTCCCTCGCTCTCCAGCAACAAAAGGTCGTTCTGCGACGTAAATATGACAACGTGGAGCGATTTTGACTGGTCTATCTCCAGAGGAGAAGGGTCAACGATGATCTTGTCACCCTTCTCGACGACGGCCAAAGTGGCGCATGTGGCAATAGCCTTCAAAGGCACGGCAGCCGACAGCAAGGCCAAGATGGCGCTGTGAAAGAGAGCCGGTAACTGAGGCAGACTCTTTCAGAAAATAGGATAGTCAGCAATGGTACTACACAGGCGACGCAGGGCGGTGGGTTTGGGGATATATGAGATGGACTTCTTCACTTACAGAATGAGCCTGGACTACTTTGCTGTTCGCATAGTCGTTCTGCGGCGTCTCAGTCACCTGAAGCGTGACCTGAATGAGACAACGAGGAAACTTTTTGACAGGAATCAGCTGGCGAAGGGCGGAACGCAAAATATTCTCGAGTTGGCGCTCTCCTGTGCCTAAATAGTCGTCACTGTGAGCAAAGTTGTCCGCATGGTGCCAGAAAAAAGACAGTCTGACCTCCGACCCCTGCAGCAGGTCGTACGACAACATCGACGACTGATTCGAAGGGGTTCTCGTCTCGTCGTTGGACCTCAATCGGCCCATTGACGGCCGCAACCACGCAATAACCACTCCTTGAAAACGTTGCCGAGCCATCTACTCGCGGCAGATGCGAGATGCGGGCCTGAGGGTTCGAATTGAGAGTCATGGCGAACGGTGATGCGGGGTTGTTGGTAAAGAAGGATAAGGGACTAAGCTGATGAGTTAGGATTTCTCCCTTGAGGTACGCTTGAAAAGTGACCGCGAATTAGTACAATGGCGGGCGGCTTGAATATCTTGCCTCAAGCAACTTCCAAGAGGAAAAATTGGGATGAAGTTGGTGAGCCACAGGTACGTACCTGCCACAAGGCAAAGCTCCCGGCAACAGACCAATTACAATCAAGATCTGCGTCGGCAGGCACGTCCTGTATCCGTACCTTACCTCAGGTGGGGGCGCTTCATTGACTAGGCAGGTACGTACGTACGGATACTTGGCTCAGCGAGCTTGCTAAGCTACACTTTCACTTTAACATCACTCAATATTCCGTCGAACTTGGTCGCACTACCATCGCTTCATCACTGGATACTTGCCCTCGTCTTCCGTTTGTCCTATAATGGCCTCAGCAGATACTACAACGCATGCTGGCACAACAGCCGTGCCGACTTTGAGCAACAAGATTCCCAGGCTGGAACCCCGCCGCCGTCGACAAACTCCCTCCAACCCAATACCTCGTCCCGAGACGCCCGCGCTACCTATACCACTAGGCCTCGACGACCTCGAATATAAAATCCCTTCAAGACGGATCCTTTCCCAAAAAGACCACGAGCTATTCCTGTCGTCCCCTACATACACGCTAGTTCTGGCTTTCGTTTTTGGCCTCTCTGAGTCCGTCGAAGATACACCTCGCTCCGCCATCAAAGATAGCGAACTCAGCCCTACGCTACAGTCCATCCTCGGCATACTCGACAAAGTAGACGGATTTGTCAAAGAGACCCCCCCAGATGATCAAGAGGGCTCGCGCTTTGGCAACAAGGCCTTCCGGACGTTCTTGGACCTAGTGAAAGAGAAGGCAGAGAGTTGGCAGACGGGATTGAGCGTTGCCGAGGCCGCGAATACTGAGGTCTCGGTCTATCTGGAGCATTCCTTTGGAAACAGGCAGAGGATAGACTATGGTTCTGGACATGAGCTCAACTTCATCATGTGGCTTCTATGCCTTTACCAGCTCCGAATCATCACTAAGGATGACTTCCGACCCTTGGTCCTCAGGGTATTTGAGAGGTACCTGCAGGTCATGCGCAACGTCCAGTTGACGTACTATCTGGAACCCGCTGGCTCACACGGAGTCTGGGGCTTGGACGACTACCAGTTCCTCCCTTTTCTATTTGGAGCCTCGCAGCTTCTTCACCACCCATTCATCACACCGTTAGCGATCCACCAAGACCTCACACTGGAGGAGTTCAGTCACGATTATCTCTACCTTGGCCAGGTCAACTTTGTCAACGATACGAAGACGGTCAAGGGTTTGCGATGGCACAGCCCCATGTTGGACGATATCTCAGCTTCCAAGTCGTGGACCAAGGTGGAGGGCGGTATGCGCCGAATGTTCGTCGCCGAGGTTCTGAGGAAACTGCCAGTCATGCAACACTTCCTGTTCGGCTCACTAATCCCGGCAGTGGATGGGATGAGCACAGAGCAGGACTTTGAGCTAGGTGACGAGGAACACGAAGAGGAAAGCGGCGAGATCGACCCGGGGAATGTGAGCAAGCATAAGCATCAACACGTTGGATGGGGCGATTGCTGCGGTATCAAGGTTCCCAGCAGTGTCGCCGCTGCTCAGGAGATGAGGAAGAGGGGGGCACGTGACAATCTTCGACGGATACCCTTTGACTAGACTAGACGTCTACGACAGGGTGTCATATGACCAAATTATGAAAAAGCCATGACAGGTATGAATGATGAACCTTCTTGATTATACTATTATGCACCACTGTGGTTTGTTCTCCATATTGCCACTCCATCCAGTGGGAAACCTCTATTACACTTCTCCGGTTGTATTACGATGCTTCAGCAGCATCTCTCGTTTTTTCGTATGTTCACTTTTAGGTATAAGCCACCTCAATCGTCGTTCAGGTAGATGTCTACCTTACCAGGCCGAGCTCGTGAAGACGCCCAATACCCGGAAGGTGCGCCCACTGCTCGCTGGAGGGCGAGCCGCAAGTGAGATCGAACCACAGGTCAGGGTGGTCGTTGTCGATGGAGTCCAGCGCGTACGCGACGGTGCTGCCGTACAGGTCGCACCGCGGGACATTGAGGCCCTTTTCGGGGTAGAAGCGGTACGACTTACAGCCGTCCGTGGTGTTCATGACGCTCTGTGAAGAAAGGAGTCTTGTCAGAAATGTCGGGTTCAGAGTCGGGAAGAAAGGGGGGGGGGGGGTTCCCAACTTACAGCGCAGAATTGGTAGCAGCCCTCAAGGGTCACGGGCACGTTGGGCGCGTTGTTGACGAAGCGAGCTAAGAAGTAGTTGCCTACCGGCAGACCGTGAACGCCGCAGTGGTTGTTCCCCGGCATGGGCTTGCCTGTCGGCGCGTCGTTTTGGCAGACCGTCTTTGTCGGGATTGTGGTCGAGGTCGGGACCGTGGTCAGCGAGGCGGTGGTGATGGGTGCCATGGAGGTGTCGATGACGCAGCTTTCCGTCGGGATGACGGAGGAGAACGCCGTTGTTGCCCGAGCGGTGGACGACGTGACGGCGATGCTGCTGGTGGTATTGGGGAGGAAGGGCGTCACGTCGGGCGTCTGCGTTGTCCAGCTGGATGATGTTGAGCTATAGGTCGAGGCGCTGGCGGTGGTTTCGTCGTCGCATGGCTCGGTTGTGGCGATGGCCGAGGTGGTGGAGGCGGACTGGCTGTACGTTCCGTTCTGAGTCTTTGTGGAGAGCGTGTATGTCATGGTTGAGTTGATGAGGGTCATGCTAGAGGTGAAGGGGGGAACAGCGCTTCCGGTGCTGGTCTCGTCGTCGCATGGCGTCTCTACGGCCGCGCTGGTCGATGTCTTTGTGGACCACGGCGCCGTGGAGTTGAGCTGGCTGCTGAACGCCATCGAAGTCGAGTTGATGTAGGAGGAGGTGGAGCTCATATCGCCGTCGCAAGGCTCGGTTATCTGAGAGGGGACCGCAGATGTGGTGTTGTGCCAGGCGGGTACGGAGGTGACGGTTCCATCTGAACCTCCTGTCGTCAAGGACGAGCTAGAGTATGTTGACGTGATGTTGGGGTACGGCTGGTGAGTGCTGGCAGTGTCGTCAGGGCAGGGGGACTCGGACGATGCCACGGAAGAGATGGTTGTTGAGTTGACGGGCAGAGTGTAGCCGGTCGAGATGATCATTGAAGTCGAGGATGTGATATTCCATGCAGCTCTCGAACTGGTAGAGTTGGCAGGCAGTGAGGATGAAGATGAAGGCAAGTAGGCCGTGCCGGTACCTCTCGAGGATGTCAAGTTGCCGCCGTAAGAAGTAGTCGCCGTGATGTAAAAGGTTACGTCAACCGTTGTGAAGGACGTGGTGACGCTCTCCGGGCATCCAGAAGCGTGGAACGACGAAGAGGAGGAGGCGGTGGATGAGGAGTTGTATGATAGCGTGTAGTGAGTGCTGCTGGCAGTCCCCACGGCGGTGCCCGTGCCGACGGCAGACGAAGTCCCGTTGGAGGTGCCGTTGAAGTGAAATCCGGAGCGGCCCCGGGCGGCGATTGGACGGACCCATTCACCCGATTGTAGGTCCGGTCGGGAGTCTGGGCCTCGGACGATGTGGGCGGCGACCTTTTTTTTTCCCACATCGGTTAGCAATATGCCATTTCCAAAAGATCCAAATTGAGTTTTGTGTCAATCTCACCTGTTCGTCTGAACTTTTCGGAGCTGCTGCCGCATTTCCGAGGAGAAGGGCGGTGATGCCCAAGAAGAGACTCTGCTGCATAATGTTGGAAGATGACCGACAGCGATGGGAGATAACAGAAGGCCGAAGTAATGAATAGTTAAAACAACAGTTACTGTGAGGTATTGTGTCAAGCCGAGTGTATGCTGAGTTGCTTGATACGCCAAGATCTTTGAGGTGTAAGCCATGTCCGTCTTTATACACTGTTGCTGTCGTCGCCCAGATCTTCAGGGAGTTGTGTGATCTCCATAACAGGAGGTATCGAACCCTTGGTTCCCTGGAAGTGCGGAGGGCTCAAGAATAGAGGGAAGACTATGGGTGTTGTCTATTGAGAGTCGGGTCCTGAAGAAGTGGGAGGGGGCTTGATAGTATCACGCAAGGGGGCCGGTTTTCAACCCCTTCAAGCGGCCACAGCTAAGACATCGTCGCAATGAGCAAAAACATCAGAACACAACGGCTTGTCGGCAAGACGCCTCAAAAAGGGAGAAGAAGGTTCATGAATGTGGTATATTTCATAAACAAGCAGACCTCCAACGCCATTTCTCGAAGTAGAGGTCGAGCCCCGTCGGAAGGGGGCAAACGTCCCATTTGTAGTAAAGTACAGACCCCAAATATGATTACAATCTTTCCGTCATGCCCTTTGTGAGTTGAAATGCAGTGTAGGGTATCAGAAGGAGTTCACTGAACGCCGCCATGCCCATAACCTTATCGATGCTAAATGCAGTGCAAAGAAACCCGGACACTCTGAACAAATGAGTATCGGGAATTGTACGCCGTTGCAGACCTCGAAACCTTTTGCTGTGTTCCAGCCTTTGAGGTGTTTCTCGCTCCGTGTCTGCTTCCTGGTTGTCCGCACTTGCGTTGTACGTTTGGAGGTCTCCAAATTCTCAGTCTTCCCAAATAGTCTCCAAGTCGAGATCTTGTCGTCTTTCGGCGCCACATACACTCCAGCGCTTTCGCTTGTCTCTCGACCCAAACCCACCCAGCGTTCTGCCACGTAAGGGTGCGTCTAGACCGCTCTTGCCCTTTAGTTCGCTGGCATCGCCATTCTCTGCAGCATCTGCAGCGGCCTTCAACTGGGCAATTCTCTCTGCCTCCATAGCTGCCTCCTCCGCATCAGGCGAGTCTGGTATGGTTTCCAGACTAGAAATGCTTGGACTCCTCGATCTTGTAGATGTCGGGGTTGACGGCACCGATGAGGAAGGAAACGAAGTAGAGGCTCCGTAGCCATGTGAGAAGGAGTCGTAACCTCGTAAGGATGGTGAAGACGACGCAGATGTATACGTAGGGGTGGTAGGCATTGTGAACGACGGCGTGCTGGCATGACCAGGGTGCCGCAATGGCGAGGACGGGCGACGATGTCGGGGCAGGACCATGGAGGGCGTCGTTCCAATCAGGTTTGGGGAACTGTGGCGCTCTGCAGTTTGTCGATCCGGGTCCAAGGCGGAGGCGCGGATAGGTGAAGTCGGGAATGCCTCGTCGACGGGCTTCCGTGGTGTTCGCACGCGGGCGGGCGATCCGGAAGGACTGGCGGGGCGGAATTGAGGGGAGAACAGGATGTGGCCAGCGCCATTGACGCCAGGCATAGACTGGGTGCGAGACATGGGAGGGGCCAAGCTCGCTGCTGACCTGGATCTCGTGTGGTGACCGGACAAGGGCGACGTAGTACGCGGTCTGTAGGGCAGAGGGGTAAAAGTCCAAGACGGCGCAGTCGGAGAAGTGGGACTGGGATCGGTCTGGCGGCGGAGGGTCGGGGGCTTTCGCAAAGGTTCAGGCTCGGCGACGGCAGGAGGAAGTAATGTCGGGTTCTGTATGCGCAGCGAAGGAAGTGGTGAGGATCGGAACTCCTCCATTCTCTCAGTCTCGGGAACGGGCTCCATGTTGAATGTCGGAGAAACCGATGTGCCAGGCTGGCGAGGGCGACATTAGCTGCGGGGAACTCAGCCTGTATGCCGCGGAGTAAATCGGTTCCTTTCTCGTTGTGAAGGTTGCACGAGTTTCCAAGGGCGGTTGTCTCGAGGGGTAACAACTAGACCTCGGCGCGACGAGCGGTCGGACAAATCAGCGGCGGGCCGTACTTTCGTAAAACGGCATCGACTGCTGGATCGATTGGGATTTTGGCGTCGGGGTAAGGCTCGAGGTGAGAAGAATCGTTTGTTCTCGAGCGGTATCGTTTGCAGAAGAGCGAGGAGGACTGTTGAGAGGGAGGGAAGGAGAGGAATGAAGTTGAGGAAGGTAACGGGCAAGGAGTCGATGGTAATGGTAGGAGCGGAGGTGCAACTGCAGCAACGACAGGGCAGGAGCAGAGAGACGAGACAAATAAACAAGGCACGGCGAATAGGCGAAGAGATGGGCAGCAGGGCAGCAATATGGAGGATGAAAAGGCGGAGGTGTCAAGCAGAGTCACGCATTCCGAGTTGCAAATGAGAAGAAGGGCCCTGGGCGGCTGACGAAGGGGTCCTGATTCTGAAGGAGGAAAGATGGGCAGGGACGGGAGGGCAGCCGGGGGTGCAAATAGCAGGCCCCGGAGATATACGAGAGAGGACGGACGCGGATACTGGAGGCGGAGAGACGGGAGATGGGAGGCAGAGAGGGAGTTTGTAGAGCAATGCGCTTCTTAGGAACCTGGCCAAGTACCTGAGAGGACGCAAGATACCTAACGTTCTAGCAAGAACGACATACTATCAGAAAGTAGTCCCTGTCGATGGCAGATGGGAAGTATACATCCAAGCCATGAGGAAAGGGGGTTGGGGTGGGTAACTAAGGCACGGCCGGCACCCAAAGGCACTTTACCCTACTGAGCCCTGTATGGGGACTATCTAATCGTTTTAGGGGACTTGGGGCACGTCCAGAACCACGGAGAACTCGGGCACAGGGCTCAGGAGTACCTAAGCTGTGTTCGTAATAAGGTACCTCACCTAAGATACAATACCTACTAATGGACCTTACGGAGTACTGCGTACGGTAAGAAAGCGAAGGAGGGGGTGGGCGCTATCGCTGTACGCCATCGGCAAACCGCTGCTGCACGCTGCACGCCGCACGCCGCATACACATGGCTCTTTGTCTCTCTGTGTCCGACCGCTTCTTTCTGACTCCTTCCCCTGGCCCGTAGTAGCAATCTACTTGACGTTTACAGCTTGTTTGTTGTGTCGGGGACGTGTGGATGTTGGGAGGGGGATGTCATTCTGGCAGGCGACCCTTAATAAGAGATGGGAGGCGCTGAAGATGAAAGAAGATTGGACTCGACGCCTTATGCAACAGAAAGGGAAATAGCACAATGTGCACCCAAACCTGTCAAGTCTTCCAGGTCGTCTTTACCTATCCGTACCTCAGCTTAATTACTTGACTGGCACACTGGGACGGATACTGGACATTCAAAACTCAGACCCCCAAAGCGGCGCCTGCTACGGCGAACCATTTGGTCACGAACAACAAGCGCTGCTGCAGGGGCTAGGATTGTCAGATGCTTCCGTGCTCATCTACCATAAGCCACTCTGCATCTGTCGTCTTAGCAGTAAGGACAAAGTCAAACAACGAAAGACTGTCGTCAGCACAATTCCCGTCGTTATCTATCTCTCGTGGCACAGCATGAGAAACATCAACCACGTAGACAATGCCTCGAGCATGCAGGACTGGACGGTAAATTGCTGCAATGCTTCAAGTGGATGCGGCGACACCCGACCCGGGCAGCCTCCACAACTTACAGCCCTCAACTCCCCAAGGTACGGATACGTCCTTTTCCTGCGAATAGAGGGCCAGCGCGGCGATGCCGCCAGACCCTGATTGATATCCGCGTGCTGCGCGCACGCGGATGCGGGGAGCAAGCAGCCTCCCACCCTTCCTGGCCCTTCCTTCCACTTGGAAGTTGCATCTCCTGCCCCCCTGGGTTCCACTTTACAAGCAGTTGCCAGTTGGCGTAATTTACTTCACTCCCGCCAACTTGCTCCGCAATGTACCTCCTGATCTCCAGGGTGGCCCGTGACGAGGAACTTCCGATGCCATGTTCGTACGGAGTACCTATCCGTTCTGTTCGAAAGTTGTGCACAGCTCTGTGGTGGCTTGGAGACTTGTTGGCTTCCAAGATTCGAATCACAAACAACGCCAGTTTCAAGGGCTCTCGGTGATTACCTACCTTATGAGATTCCTTCCCACCTGAGAGTGCACTTGGCACCTTACCTTGGTTAGATATTGCCTTAGCGCTTAGAAGTTGAGCCAGATGCGGTACATAGGTACCTGAATCAAGTCAAAGGTAAGGCAGGTACGACATCTGGGGTGCCTTCCCTCAAGGTAAAGTGCATGCATGCATGTTATTACCTTGGTGTGAAGAGTAAGTTTACGTAAACATATTTTCAAGCAGCTTAGGTAGGCAGGTCGCCATTGGCTCTGCATTCCTCACCTCAAGTGCACCCACCCCAATGGCACAGGGCCTCAGTCTCCCCCATCCATCTCACACTGACATTGGGTGCTTGGGTAGCCACTAGCTGTAGATCATCTTCACCTCCACCTATCCACGAATCAAGGGCATCATTCGAACTGTCCGACCGAAGCTTGAGGCCTCTATTGAACTCGATGTAGGTTCAACTATCTCTCTACTTTACGGGTATTTCTCCTTGGTAAAGTTATTCATACGTTGGTCCTTAGCCGACGGGACGCCTCGAAGCCAATATTTAATATGCCAGCCAGCCAGCCAGCCCTTCTCTGTGCTAATGGCACGTCGATAGGAACGAAGCACGCCCGGTCTCTCCTCACCTCGCATGGGTCTTTCCGCCTTTGCCGAGCGTCCGGACCGAGCTGGGAATTCCTGTGTAGGCGCAGAGGGCCAAGGTACCTGCAGAGAAGGCACGGAAACTACGTGAACAAAAACTTCCCTGACCCCGGCTCGTTCACCATTGCTGTCTGCAAGGGCATTGCTTTCTTTCACTCTCGTCGAGCTATGAGGCGTTCAGATAGTCGATGACCACTTGATGGAGGAGTCGACCCGTGTGTCGCCCGAGATGTCGATAGATCCAGACCCGGATGTAACTCTACACTACATGCATCTTCAAGGGCATCGTTGCCTCTGCAATGCCGCCTTCTACTCGAAATCCCTACCCTCACCGATACCTTACTGCACTATAGTAAGTACTCCTAGCGTGCAGGAGGCATAAATGATCTCATCAGAGCTAGAGCCGCGTTGCTCTGTTCCGCAAGTCCCATCCGAACTATGCGGCGTTTGCGCAGCTACAGCCCACTACTTTGCTTCCTAGCTGCTATACAACTCATTTTCGCCGAGATACGTTTCCAGTGGCTTGCTGTCCGCCAGCTCCTAGACCGTTTGACCGTCAACTTGGAACACTCAGACCGCAAATCTTTATACATGATGGCTCCGTTTTCTGGCACACCAAATGCATCACTGCCTTTCAATTTAAACCTCCTTAAACTTACCCTCGCCTACGCACGGTCTATGCAGCTCCAACATCATACACCACATTCACGGCTACAACGCCAAACACCAAACGCCAACGTCCTCAGCCCGCCCCCGGCTGCTCTGCATTGCATCGCATGGCAGCTTAAACCACCTAACCTCATTCAAGCCTACATGATGCAGCTCATGTTCGTTGTGATTCTCTCCAATGCCCGCCCGTCAGGCTTGTATGACCAGACAACTCCATACCAGGCTCACACACCTCGTTTTGAGGCCCCCGATATCAATAGGCATTTAACAGAATGGACTGTCTTGAAGCAACGTACATTGCAACAGGTGTCTGCAGTATAAGAGCGGGCACAAGGGGTTATTCTGCGGTTGATCCAGCCTCAAACCCTTCCTGCTATCGGATGACTTGTACCGCTTGGTCCGACTGATACATACTCAACAACCCCTGTGAGCCACGAAGCTCACCAGGACCCTGAGAAGTCTACCAAGTCGCATCCATGTCTGCGCCTCAAAGCAAAATTTGGGGGTTTGGTCGCACACGAGCCCGCACATCCATAAACATTCCTGCCATGCTTTGCATGTTTTGGCATAGGCATCTGCTCGCTTGTCGGCACTGCAACCCGTCTAAAGGTGACCTGACACCTGGCCCGGCCGTGTCTGAATTGTCTCATCCAGTCTTCCTGCCGTCGGATACCTTTTGTTCCTCGACAGCTTCGCCGCCCTGACCCAGGCCTGCTTGTAAGAGCTGACTCTAGGCCCACGCAATGCCAATGGCCACGATACGGCCGGTGTGTCGTGATGAGTTTCCTATATTTTGTGATTACTCTTGATTCAGGTATGACTTTGTCCAAATCCTCGAGGAAGGGAGGTCGCCTTGCATTTTGTTACTTGGATTTCAAACCGAAGCAATACTCACGCAAGGCGAGGAATTTGAGCCTCTGTATGGCGTCTTCCGAGCATTCCAGACGTCAGGCAGGATTACATCGAGAGATGTAAGTCCACCGTATCGGACCCGAATCTGGGTGTTGAATGCCGGTGTACGGGAGCTAGGAATGATCTGACCTCTTGTCGATGTCGTAGCTCACGCCACAACCACCTCTCGGAATCCAACAGAAGCGACAAAGTATTGTGTGGTGTGTCTTGCGCTCTGTGCAGCTCAAATAACTGGCATCTCGGGGTTCTTATTCGCAGGCGGCAGGGTGCACAAGAAAGGAAAGTACACACTATTCACTATGTCCTGGTGTTGAATTATTTGTAGCATAGCTTCCCATTGCGGACAACCTCAACTTGAATTCATTCAATACACTATTCCCTTGTCATAAGCGTGTTGATACACTGCAGTCTCCGATATTTACCTCCCTTGACTAACGTTAGAGGTTGCGCTTGATGGCGTTCTCGCAACATTGAATGCTTACTATGATTGTCGAAGCACGATCAATGTAGTTATGTCTCTCGGCTTTCTGTTTTGAGAACTCATGATAACATCCATAGAGAAACAATATTTAAGTCGAGTTTATAGGCTCACGCCCAACTTTTTGCTTGCTACGGAGGCTTCGTGTCTGAGCTTTGATCTACGGATGCTCGTCAGAAAGATGGCAATGCCACCGACGCCAAACGCAGTTGGGATCTATTTGTATACTTCATTTAGGTCTTCTTGAAAGTTTCTTCGCAAAGATTCACAGCTTTGTTAGATACCACCACTTACGCTAGAGACTAGACACTTTTACTCAGCGATAGCATACCAACACAAGACTTTATGTATATTCTTGAACGCCTAGCTTTGTTCTAAAGCAGATAGAGGACACTGCATTAAACCCCTGAGGCAAACTAAAAACGAACATATCTGCGCTATCTCTGGACATCTTGTGATCCGGTGCGCAGGGAATAGCAAAGCCTACCACCTGGCAGATCAAAACGAACAGTCATGGGGCTCTGTATCGGCGTCTTCGGCGAGATTCTTGCTTGTGTCAGTAGTATCAACCGTTTCGTTGGAAGCCTCGGAGGTATTCCGAATCTCCGAAGTCTCGGAGGCCATAGACGTCTCTGCCTTCGATGAAGTAGCATCTTCATCATCGGGTTCTGCAGAGATCAAACCAAGCTTGGGAGTCTCGACGATTTCAAAGGTCTCATAAACCTCAGTGCTATCGTCGTCAGAGGACTCAATTCCGATCTTGGGGATTTCGACAGCCTCAAAATCCTCGAGAGCTTTAGTTTTGCGCTCCTCAGAATCATCATTGACAAACTTGCCCTTTATCAGGGTTTCCTTCAAGCTGTCCAAGGCTTCCTGCGTGCGGCCTTTGAGGGTGTCGAGACGCTGGCACTTGTCACAAACTCTAGCCTTCCGGACGCAGTTCATGGAGTGCACACGGCGCTCGATGCATGTGGTTTTGGCGTTATCTTCCGTGTACTTGAGGAGGTCCCGCTGCAACTTGCAGATTGTAACCTTCTTGCCGAGTTTGCTGTGCTTGCACTCGTATACGGTGGCGCGGTAGAAACACATGATTGCTGGAGATAAAAAGCAGTAAAAGTGGAAAAGTTGAGGGGAATTGAACTGACTGTTGCTTTGTGGTTGATTCGAGGAACTGGCATGGCAACTTCAACCCGAGTCTCGAAGTGCTCATATACTCGAAGGCAGATTGTGTAGTACATGTTACCTGCCTAGATCGAACATACCTCGAGTTTAGAATTCTGCAGTTGTTTCCGGATGGAAACGCATGATCTCAGGCTTCTAAGAGTTGTTCTATACTCAAGTAAACAAAGGAGACTAGGTTATTGTATGGTTGTCAACTCGATGTTTCCGAACAAAGAACCGATTATAGGACAACAACACTGCCTAACATAACATTCGCACAGCCAAAGGGCGGAATCTGGGTGTTCGAGACTAGAAATTCATTACAGTGTTTCCGTTAAAGATAGGAGCCCACTCTTGAGAACCTCTACAAACGTCGATGCCCATGCTGTGCCTTCGGACGCCCGACCATCCTCCACCTTTGGCACTCGATACCCTATTCTTCTCAAAGTCTTCATCAAACTCGACTCGGCGTTGGATGAAATCACAAACCCTTGTGTTGCCAAAAGACACTCAATATCTGTAGTGGAGTCACCAAAGTACACCAGCGTCCCAATATCTTCCACCCCTTGACGAGCTGCGAATATTTGAAGAGCTCGCAGCTTATCCTCGCACGTCATCAGGGACGGCTGCCGCGCCGTTGAACCCATCACTTCTGGCCCTGAGATGCTTCCATCCAACTCTATTTCATTAGCGACGATGTCGACGCTATAGTCCGAAAGAACACCCTTGATGAATGATCCCGACCAGTTGACGGAGACTATCGCGACGGACCAGCCTTTCTGTTTGGCAACGTCCATGAGCTCCGCAAAGCCATCCCTCAGATTGACTCTTCCTTCTCTCCGGCAATTTTCACCGATAAGTGTAAGGTATTCCCGACTGATGCCCCGGAAGATGCCTGACCTCTCCACTCTCTGAACAGATCGCGACTCAACTTCCTTCAGACCCCGCAAGAAGGCGAGCTCGCCTTCAAGCGAGCGTCTCTTATTTGCGATTGGAAGATACGTGGACACATGGTCGGCATGGTCTTTGCTATAATCTTGGAGGATCTCCTGCCAGTTCGAAGAGAGATCGACCCCGCGCTGCTGCTGAAATTGGAGGCCGATTTCTGCTAGTGTACCGATTGTATCTTTTGTCGTAATGGTACCGTCAAAGTCCAAAACGAGATTGAGGGTATTTTGAGGCATATGTGCAACACGGGAGTGATGGAGTGAGGTCTTGATGCTGTCTTTGGAAGATTGGTTTGGTTGAACCCAGGTCGATCAAGTCGAAGGAGGGACTTGACGACTGTGCACTTCCCCACTTTGCTCACGGGTGGATTGTGAATGAAAGACAGCAATTCTCAAGTCAGAAGCTGGGGTACTGGACACTGTGTCGCCACTACCACCGAACACGAGCCTCCATATATCGTATCTCAATCAGAATGCATATCACTGTCTTTGTTTTGCCCTACCGTGCTGCGATGGGAGGGACAGCTGCAAACCCGTCGACACGTATGTCGTCACCTAGTGCCCCAAGGGGTATCAAAATGTCCCTGAATGTAAGAGCCACCTCCATCCAAGACTGTCCATGAGAAAAAATGCCCTTCCAAACGCCTTGCGATGCCCTGCGGGTTCTGTGGCCCGATCTGTGTACAATTGCGAATGGTCACTAGACAACATCCTCCATAACCACTTCGTCGTCATCATCCTCTGCGGCGGCTTCCTCCGGTGCCGTTTCGCTAGTGGCGCCGGATGCCATGCTCTTTAAGTGCTCTTGAAGCGACCACTCGTTGGCGTGAATGCCGGACCTGTTTAGTACTGCGATCTTCTCCAATGTCTGGCGCAAGAAAGCCTCAGGCTGGTCAAATCTAGCCTTGAGAATTGACATTTTCCAGTACTCGTACTTCCTGAAAGCCTCCATGAGACCATCCAGCAGTTGTTCCTCCGACATGCGGGCGGATCTGTTTTCGGATTTCTTGGGCTTGGTGGCCTTGGTAGGCGCAGAGGTTTTCTATTCTTCGTCAGCAATGAATCTGCTAGTATCCTCCAAGTTCTACTCACGATGAAGGAGCCAAACTTCTCAACCGCAGCAGCAGATCCATGGTGGATAATACTGTTGGCTGCGCGCTGTTCCATGATCTGCAGGGTATGCTTGGGCCGCTGAGCCTCGACTTGCTTCCGCTGGAGAATTGCCTGGCTCTCGGCATTGTCGACAGGCTTGCACGCCAATTCGTATTGGATTCTAGCGGCAATCTTTGTCTTCTCTGCGTTGAATTAGCTGCTGGTCTGCGCCGTGTTAGGTGCATTACACTGACTGGGAATCGCCTTGCGGTAGTATGGCTGCCATCGGCGACCCTTTTCGAATGGCTTCTTCTCCACTTTCTCCGTCTTGGGTCTCAGGAATCGAGCCGGGATGCCAGCGTTTGCCGCGTCGGTTCGTGCCTTGGATTTCGCCTTGAAGCCAGGCAGGTCCTCCTCAGTGAAAATGAACGTGCTGCGTGCGATGTCCTTCCCCATCTCCAAGTCGTATTCCTTCGGCATCAGCTGGTGCTCGGCGCGTTCGGAATTGAGTAGCATTTTGAATCGATGCTGTGCAAGAGAAGTCAGCCCAGCTGTCTATCTAGCCTTGTCGCGTCGCGCATGTTACAGTACCTCAACGCTGCCATCTGGACGGACCACGTCCCACTGTCGCATGGTGCCAATCTCGATTTCTGCGTCATCCGGCAAGCTATCCCATGCTTCCCACAGGTCCTTCGGAACGCGTGCTAAGTATGCCTGCCCAAAGGCGCCATGATCGCTCAATTGATCGAAGAACTCTAGGTCGCCAGCATCTTCGTATAGATCGTCGTCGTCGACGGGAGCGGCAGGTATGGCTTCGGGATCGGGCTTGATGTAGGGCTCCGGTTTGATGTATGTCGAGTCCGCCATATTGAATGTTCTGGGTACCTCAGATGCTTCGTTGCTATTCAAGGTCGCGAAGTTGAGGAAGAGTTGGTATTTTTGCAATGACGGCAGAGAGAATAGCCCACACCTATCTTTAGCTCCGTCACAGCAAGCAACTGGGAAGCTGGAAATGGCAGTCGTGATCCACCCCAAGCAGCCGCCTGGAGTACCTTTGTACCCGAAATAGACTAGCTCAGCAATCATGTGACATGGGTGAAATGGAGCCAACCTCTGGTTTTGATGGTTCTCAAGTTCCCAGCAACAAGTTACACATATCTGGAATCCAAAAATTTGTACTGGGATATTTCTTTCTTATGTGCAATGGCTTGGGAATGAATCAAGTGACTCGTCCGAGCTCGATGGTCTAGATCATTGAACAGTGGGAAATAAGCCCATCTGCACAACCAGCCCGGTCATCAAGTCATCCTGAGAGGTACCTCAGTGACAGTGTCAGTCACTGCCTGCCTTAGCTCTGGACAGGGGCCATACAAGTCAGCTTGGGGAACCACTTAAAAGCCGCATGCCCCACTACGGATGTGGCACTTCGGTGTTCGTGACCTCTTTAAAAAGACCCATCCACCTGCACCTTTCCGCCATCACTTACATATACCAGCAACAACGAAGATCTAACTCTTGAGTATAGTACTTCATATCGGCTCGGCCTGTTGCCCCAGAGCCCCGAGGGTTCTCCTCCTCCTTGACAAAAACCTTCTGCTACAACAACCTACTTTTCGAATTACCTATATACCCACTCTGTCCGTTATTTGAACAATGCGCGTGCGATCCGGCTGTTCCCCAACAACGACCATACGAACCAACGCCTTCATCACGGCGGCAACGACCATTAGCTAGGCCCTTTTGCAACATATCCAGCTACAAATTCAACATGGCGCCGACTAAGTCACTTGCCGAGCTGTGCATTGCTATGTGCCAGAGGCACATCACAGAACTCAGCAGTGTGGGCAATGGCGACGTACTCCAATACCATCATGTCCGCGACATCCTCTTGAGGGTCATCAACCCGGCTCAGCTCCGAGAGATCGAGCTCAACTCCCCCTTCATACAAGGCGAAACCTCCGAGCTCTGGCTGCGCCTTATCAAGAAGGAATTCCCATCCGAAAGCCACGAAAAGAATTACGCGCCTAAGAATCCGTCGAAGTGGTACAAGATATACGAGCGATATGCGGAGGAACGCCGCGAGGCTCAGCAACAGGCTGAGGCCGAACTTCTTGCCAGAGTTCAGGGGCTTCGGCAGAAGAAGGACAATAACGTTAGCAGGATCGTAGACCCCAAGTTGGCCAGGTTCTTACCCAAACCGCCTAAGACTGGTCGCACTTTTTCGACACAGCCTCGAGGGAAAAAAGAGCTCCCGAGTACCCTAAGCTGGGCCGCCGGGAGCAGAATGAAGACGACAACGGGCGCTAGTGTCATGAAGAAAGCCCGCAGAGAGGCCAAGGAGATCAAGGGCATAAGAAGCACCATGGCTGTCCCAACTGGCATGATCAGGGCTCCTCGACTGAAACAAGCCCCGCCTTCGATGGCTGCTGAGCACCGAATCTCGAGCCAACCAATCTTCCGGCCTACATCTACAAGCAGCCGGCCACCCACGCACTCTACATATGCCACTCCACAGTCCAAGGCTACGTATGTATCCGACTCGTCGGATGGCGAGGATGGCGAGGATGGCGATTTGTTCAGCGATGAGGGAACGCCCAAGAAGAACAAGGGTCCAGCATCTTCATCTCGCCACAGTCGGGATACGACAGCTCCCTCTAGGCCTACAAACCCTTCCCAATCCTCATCATTCAGGGACCGCAATTCTTCCACGTCCGCCAGATCCACCTCTGGCTTCAAACAATCTCCTTCTAGCTCACAACCATCGGGTTTGCGACGTGGTGGTGGTATTCTCGGAAATGCCCCTCGGCCCAAGAGCAACATCAGGGTTGAGCGCCCACCATCCAAACCCGAGCCAACCTCTGCGAGTATGGACCAGTCCCGTGCGCACAAAGTGCTCGCTCAGAATAACGGCCCACAATCTCCTCCTTTGCCAACATCGTTGGATGAAGCGCAACAAGCTCGACCAATTCTGGGCAACCAGGAGCTGCCCAGAAAGAGAAAGGCTGTCGACATTTTTATGCCTAAGAAGAGGCCAATCAGGCGCTGAAAGACAGTGTCATCTGGCATGGCTGGAATGAGGAATTGTGAGTATTGTGACATATGAGGTAGTCGGGCGTTGGTAAAGGAACAGGTTACATAGCATTGGAATTCAGGCGTTGGGTAGGATATGGTATATACCCTTATGGTTCGTGTGGTGATCCTGCCGATCACGACGGAATTAAATTGAACTCGTTTGAAAATACATGACGGTGTGTTTGCTTTCGACTCGGCACTATCTCTTTGACCACTGCTACGTTCATGTCACTACCTGGCTCTAGTCTCCATGTGCGGATTATCACAGGCAGCCTTTATGCGCTAGGCTATGGTTCCCTTGATGTCAAATCCCAAAGCAGACCTTGTCTAACCCTGGCATGACAGCCTGCCTCAAGCTCCTCCATCCTTTGGACAGGCAATGTTCGATGTCCCAAATGGACGCAGCTACTGCATGCCGTTCCTCATCGGCCCTGTATGCTCCGTCTCAGTAACGCTGAAAACATCTGCATATTGTTACCGTCCTCTCTTCTCTTGTTAAAAGCCATCGCCGGGAACTGAGCTAACAACCACCTCGAAGGGCAAGAACCAAATGCAATGTGGCACCAGCCTCGAGGCCATATTCGGACGCAGACTTGTCGTCGACCCTGTTCGAGCATCTTGTCAGCCAAATGGTCTTTCGTTGAACTCTACCCAAGCTCCCGGTCTTCTCCCACTGGCGAAAGCAGGACGGGCTCCAAGAGAATCAACCTCACATTTGCTTTCCGCCGTAGATGAGTCTTTGCTGGACAGGCGGGATGCCCTCCTTCTCCTCAACCTTCTCCTTGATCTGAGAGACCTGTTGCATGATTGGTCAGCGTCATGTTTCCCCCCTCTCCGTCTGTGTGTTGTATCCGGTGGGCAGTGTATCGGGAAAGTTACGCGCCTTGTATTCGTTCTCGATATCCAGCTCAATCTCCTTGCCGGTAAGCGTGCGCACCCTGTTGGTGTAAGCAGTTATTCGCAATAGGTAGAGTTGTGTCACCGCCTCTAGAGGTCTAGACGACTGGGATTCGCGTACTTGATCAACATTGTGGGCGTGTGAGGGATCGCGACAACGATGTGTGGCCTTGAGTTTGGTTCGAAAGAGAGGTAGAGGAGTCGTGGTTGTGTGGTATTCGAAGTCGACTTGGCGGGGTTGTGCGGTTTGTTGGTTGAGGATGTGATGGTTGCACGATTAATCTCGAGCTATCCGCAGGCAGGAAGTCATAGTGGGGGAGGGGCCCTTCTGTAAGCCGAGCAGGGGAGGGGGACCTTTGAGATGCCCGGGCCCACCACAGGCACGTCTTATAACTGTGCAGGCACCCACCAGTTTCGACGGCCTGTGCTGCAAATGGATTGACGGCTGTCCAAGAAAATGGTGTACGTAGAATCACAAGCGTCTTAGCCCTTTTGCTGCGAAATACTTTACATATTGCAATGTAACTAGCGACAGTTATAATGTGAAATCTTCTTTTCTTCTTGCTAGATTACTGAGGAGTTTCCTTTTGTTGTACACGGATGGACTATCCACCAACCTCCCGAGTCTCATGCATTTGTAGATGATGTGTTACCGAAGCTCTCAGAGGCGTTTTTCATTATTATACAAGTCCATGCCAGATTTTGATGTTGTAAGAGTACAGTGTGGAGAATTCGCGCCCAAATGCCGACGCCTTATTTCTTGTCGCTATCGTCAAACACGTTCAGACCCAGGCCCTCAGAGTCAAGCAACAAGCGGTTCTTGCTGCCGGACTCTTGCATCTGTTGGGCAATGGCGCGCGCGTTCTCAATCTTCTTGAGCTCAACGTAGGCCTTGCTCTTCTTGATGGCATCTCCAATCAGCTCAGCAGAGCGAGCCTCACCCTGGGCCTTGACAACCATGGCCTGCTTCTCCTGGCGAGCCTTATCGACAACGAACGCCGCGCGCTGAGCCTCTTGCTGAGCAACCTGTTTCGCCTCGACGGCAGCTGTGAATTCCGGAGAAAAGGCAAGGTGCTACGGCGCATTGTTAGCGAGAACTCAAAGGGGACTGATAGGGGGCCATATTCATACCGTCAGGGACACATCATCCAGCAGGATGTTGAACCGTGCGGCACGGCGGGAGAGGTTCTCGCGGACCAACTTGGCAACCATCTCTCTCTGGGTAATGAGCTGGGAAGCGTTGAACTGAGCCACAACACTCTTGAGGACCTCATTGACAATGGATGGCAGCACTCTCTCGTCGTAGTCTGTGCCGAGTGTGCGGTAGATCTGAGGCAAGGCCTTGACATCGGGTCTGGAAAGGACACGGCAGGTGATGTTGACCATCTGCAAGTCCTTGGTTCCGGTGAGGGAGGCGACGTTTCTGGGCTTCGCGCGAACATCGTAGGTTACGGGAGTCTCGAACCAGGGGATGATCAAGTGGGTTCCTAGGAGAGGAAGACATGTTAGCTCATTGCGTTCCCCAAAATCGAGAGAAACGATGCCTCTCTTTGAGTGGCGTGGAGGGGCGCTGCCTACCTTCGCTGTAAATCTCCTTGCTCACACCCGTTGTCCTCCGGTACTTGATCGCTCTGTGACCACCATCGACGTTGAACAGCGCATTCTGGGCCACGAATGCAGCACCTCCCAAGAGAACCAGACCGGCAAGTCCCATGCCAGCGCCGCGAGGACCCCCGGGCATGCCGCCGCCGCCGAAGCCACCGCGCTTCTGCTGCTGCTGAGCGACAGCTCTGAAGCGCTCATAGGCCTCCTCCATGGGGTTTCTTCCTCCAGACATGATCGGGTATGGGTGCAGGCGCGTCTATCGATTGGAGTTGAGCTCGAGAGAAGTGAGCTTCGATCGGTGCTGTTTTGCGGTCGATTGAGAGCGGGTTGCTTGCAGCTTCGGAATGGGAAAGCTGATGGTGGAGCTTTGTCAGACCAGTATTCAACGTCACGGCTCGTTTGGCGGAGCTCGAAAAATGGTGTTGGCCGGTGCTCTCGGCTTAAAATGTGCCCCGGCGGCAGCTGGCAGGCACCTCAGGCAGCTCCCGGTTCGTTCGAGCCGTCATCAACCTGGAAGGCGCACAGACCATCCCCAGACTACCCATCCGCCCACCTTGACAGCTGGCGCCATTTGCCCTACCTCGTACGGAGTAGCTGGCTATCCATCACCAAGACAACTTGAGAGCATTTATACAAGTCAGCTTTATCTTCTCATCACCACGACACAGAAGCAGACAAGTTGTTTTCTCGTACACTAACCGTGGCAATGAGATGCTGGACCATGATTTGGAGCTGGGTATGATCTCAAATCTTGAGACCTCTGAACCTTTCGTGCGCGGCACCTACGCTGCAGGTTAGCAAGCACCCACAGACGGCTGATAAATAGACCGAAGGCAACTTGGTGCCGGGCTGTTTAACATCATTTGGCTTCAAGTATGCGAGCATTCCCAGCCGAGTCTCAATCGAAGTCGAGGTGGATTGCCGCCATGGACTACTTCATCCACGACATACTTGGCAAGCATTTGATTTCTTCGACATCAGGCAGAGAGAGCACTATGATAACATCCTAGGCAAAGATTTCACGTAAACGTCGTTAAGATATTATCAATCTAATCACGCTTCCGAATCGTAGCGGCATCCACGTATGGGTAGCCTCAATACCACAATACTATTACGGAGCATTAGCATAATACTATAGTCGCAGCTCAACCCTTCTGACTCTAAACCCTCCTCGCGGCCTCCTCAGCGCGTCTACCAAACTTCTTGATCCAAGAAGCATCGTAGGAATCCAACTCTACGGCACGCTGAGGCAAGCTTCTCTTTGCGGGATGAACGTTGGCTGCGGTGATGTTTCCGCAGTCGGGCCTCTTTAAGTCATTTCCAAACACATCAACAGCCCAGAGCAGAACGCCGTTTGTCCAGCCGAAACCTTCAACGACTTCATACTCTCCACCGCCACCTGCGACGTTGGTCGAGTTATCGCCGTACTTCTCAAACATGGTTCCGACGCTCTGGGCAGTCAAGCCCTGCAGCTGGGGAGTCTCGCTAGTTGAACCACCCGTAGCATACCATGTGCAAAAGGTAGAGTCCAGGTATCGCTGTCCGAGGCGGAGGGCGAGGCTTTGGACGTCACGCCAGGCGGGGTCTGACTCTCCAAAAGTTGCGGGCGTCCTGCGAAGACCTTCCATGAGGACATGCATCAAGGGCGGCCAAACATTTGGCTGATCCCATTGCTGACCTGTCTTGAGGTTCGTGGCGGGGATGCCGCCCTTCTTGATGTCCAAGTACTTCTCCACACGCTGGTATGCTTGCTTTACCGCGTAAGGGTTGTTCTTGAGGTGTGAAGGCGCCGCGCCTGTCCAGAACGGGTAGAATTGAGAGACTGAAAAGAGGACTTGTTGCTCTGCCTCGGCGGTATTCGTTTCAAGATCACTGGCATCGTCGTCTTTGGGAATGTAGATGTTCTGGCCTCCCAAGGTCACGTTGTAGTCAAAGTAGCTTGACAGGGTAGAGTTCCACATCAAATCGTACATAGCTTGACTTCGTTTGGTGGCAAGTTCAGTCCACTTCGCTGCTTCAGTGCTATTATTCGTGGAGTTGAGAAGAGCGGCAATGGTCACTTCGTTCCAGTACAAGATGGAGTTCAGCTCCACCGGGACAGTCTCTAGAACGTTGAGAGATCGGAGAGGGAAGTAGACGTCTCTCGCTGCATCCGAAGGTCGAGAAAGCCATCGTGAGGAGTAGTCCCAGCCGCTCTCGGCACCGGATGCGAGGTTGGCATAAACACGGGCCTTTTCGGTGTCATTCAGCTTCTCGACCTCCGGGTAAATGATTCCACTGGTCGAGTAGTAGGAAGCGTTCGAAGCAGTGATGTAGTCTTCTCTGTACGATTCGGGTCTTGGTTGTGTGTTGGTGACGTTGTATCTGAAATTACAAGGTCAGCTACATGCTCATAAGTTAGGTGAATTCAAGATTCCACGGACTGATTCAGAGTATACGTGGTCCCGTTCCTGTTTACTTCAATAGTTCTATTTGTTGTCCAGAAATCATGCTCCTTGATGAGGAGAGGGATTGCCCGGTCTAGTATGCTCCGGTCGCTTGTGTACTCGACGTAGAGACGAACCATTTGTGCTAGCAATGGCGGCTGCGAACGGTTCAGATAGTAGATCCGAGCACCATTGGGCACAAATCCGAGTTTTTCTACGAGGTCCAAGAAGTTTTCAATAACGTTCTTGGAGATCTCAGTGAAAGCGCCGCCTGTACGTAAGAGGCCCTCGAGAATCCCTACACGACATTATAAGTCAGTCGACAACTTGCCATATGAACATGAAGCTGTGCAGTGGGCTCTCACAGAAAGAATCCCAGTAGTATGGCTCGCGAAACCGGCCTCCGGCAACCACAAAGGTGTGGTTGACTGGGATGAAGCTGTTCGGACATGTTGTGCAGTTGCTCGCAGAGCCAGCGTATGTGCGGGTTAAGTCCGGCCAGATGGCAATGACCTTATGTGAGAATTCCTTGATCACTGTATCGTTGATTTTGTCGAGGAATTTTGGGTCCGTTTTCAACTGATCCTTGGGCACTTCCTTGAGCTCACCACCTGCTGCGGCAAAATTGGCGCGTAGGAAGTCATTGAGTGCAGTATTGTTACTCAGGGGCTTCGACAGATTGTTGAACGCTGCTTGGATCTCTTCCAGAGACTTGATAGCAGGCCTTCCGAGGAGCGATGAGTATCAGTAAATAGTTCTACATCGAGCTCTGAGAAGTGTATAGTGTCGACGGGCACTTACATGTCTACAAACGTCTTGGAGTCTGAGAACGGTCTAGCAAGCTCAACTTCTTTCAAGATATCGCCATGACAGTAGATGGGTGAGTCGCAAGGAGCGACGACAGACCCATTCTCATACAAAGCCAGAGCTGTCCGAGGTAAGGCAGCTACAGCTGCGAGGGCTAATGCAAAGTTGACCATGGCGTTCAATTGAGCTCTCAGAGGAGCTAGTATATACACGATGGTGGTGTTATTGAACCGGTAAAGCCAGGGATGCAGACAAGACCTTCACTTCGGATGAAGTGGCTTACGGCCGGGTATAAATGGACACAAATGGAAGCACGTTATGCACATGGAAAGCTGCCAGGCTGCCTACCAGGATCGGCTGCAGGTTCACTTGGGAGGGGAAGCTTGGACGGGTTCGTCGCCATGAGGGATCGTCGGTCGCCTGAGGTAGGTAGGCAAGTACCGCAGCAAGGCCAGGGCAGACCCGGGCCGGTACTAGGGGACCGCGAACCCAAATGTACATAGGCTTTCCCAGGATGTTAGACATTATGACCAAACCAATTTTAAAAACTCCTTCGTTTCCTGCGGGTTTACGTGGGCGGCCGAGCAGAAGGTTACCGTTGCGCGGCGCCGTTGGGCTTGGAATATGCTGGGTCCGAGTCAATTCTGCGGGATCGCAGGCATCTTGGCTTCGCGGCATGGCAGACGACACGTTGGACGCCACAACACGCAATTTTTACGAATCGAGACTAGAGTGCTGGCATGTCGAACAAGGCAGAGAGACAGATACCGAGAAATGAAGATGGCTGGCTGGCTTCGCCGGTTCCGCTTGCGGACGTGCAGCTTTCCCCGCATGATCCAGACCTTCGGGGAGCCGTGGTAGAGCCGCTGTACGAGCGTCATAGCACCGATTGGCCGCCTGTTTGTTTCCTCCCCAGCTTCTCGGTGGTTTGTTTCCCAGCTCTGAGGGAAGCTTCTAGCTCCAGAAGCGTCCATGAGCATGATGTGCCAGCAGGCTAGGCGTATTAGTGCAAGGGTAGGCCGAAAGTGTGGGTGACGACCATCGTATGTCATCCCACTTGGACCGACAGGTATTGTGACGTCAGCAAGGATGACCGTGGGATCTTGCAAATTTTGTATTAGTCTTGTCTTGGGAGTCGCGGTGAGTATGCCTGTCTGGCGGGGTATTAAAGGCTTTTGCTTGGTGGTTGTCAGACAGACTATGCGGTAATTGTTATTGGGCAGGCGAGCCGGGCCATGCGGAGAAGCTCGGCGGTCCCGGATACAGCTTTCCCCACACTCCCCCGGAAATTGCTCCGAACGCTGTCTTGATGCATTCCAAGTATGTACGAATACCGCCTGCATGGTCGTCTACCCTTCTATGTCAGCGGCGGTGGAATGCTTCTTGGAGTCTTCAATATTCCGCGCTTATATTCTTCTTCTATCTGATCATCTGTCGACGACCGAGCCTGATGGGCGAGGACAAGGCTTTCTCCGTGTACAATGAGACAATTGCTGGCGATGTACTCCGTACCTTCAACTTTTCTGCCCAGGGGTCTGCCTCGTTGTATAGCTTTGGTGCCTGGACGGGAGTGAGAGCGAGACTCTCATGTAGTGTGAGAATAACTCAATACTTATTTGGGGACATCTGATGATGCGCAACCATCGACCTTCTTTGGAAAATCCGTTCTCATTGGCCTAGAGATTCCCATAAGATGATTTCCGATCAACCACTCACCGTCGAGGGCTGAGAAAAATCTGAGCAAGATTGACTAATCTTTTCTCTTGATCAACAAGCAGCGAGGTTGAAAAGCGTTCACCCTCACTTTCTCTGCATACTTAGGTTCTGTGATATGTCGCATTGGGTCACTTCACTCAGTGAGACTCAGAGCTAACAAGCAGATATACAGAATTCTCACCGAGTCTTTACTCACTGGTAGCCATATGAAACTGAGCATACCCATTTGAACAGAGATGAGATTGACTGCGGTTGTATACTTTGGGTGGATAGGTAGGTACCGGTATGTGCCTTTAAACTTTGTCTGAAAGTTATAAGCCTCTTTGCTAGGAAGAGTTGCAGCATACATTGCCAATCTTGAACTGTCTATTACCCTTTCAAAAGCCACAGTCGGCGACGGTGTTCTGATATCAAGTCCGACGGCGCACAGCAATTCTACATTGAGGGAGGGTAGTGACATACGCCAAGTAACTCGATCATGGACCATCCTGAACGAGACTTTGTGGTCAAAATCGTGCACACCCATGGCTGGAGCAAACCTCTGCTTTAACGTCAAGATCTTATCGTGATTTACAATGAAGGGAATGTTTGTACTGCCTTTATCATGAGTTGATCGGCTAATCTGACGGGGATGAAGCGGGGTTCACTCGTCTTACATCAGCTACCTTGGGTAGAATCTTGAGACGCTTCCTCCATGTACTTTAAACTAAAACCAGAACACGATCTCCAACTCGAGGTTGAATTCATCTCAGTCGACCTGAGAATAGGTGCACGTGTAAGAGGATCGAATTTTTTGGCGCCGTACCAAAAATCAATTCTAAGAGACCTCGGGAGACCGCATTCAACCTCACCGCGGCTGGTACATGTTCGTCGGGCCCTTTTTACCTCCTCCTGCTTGACTACCGCCCTCTAAGGCTCGTCGGAAGACTTGCTCTAGCTTAGGAAGAACCTTGTCCTGGTTCTGAGCAATCTGATAATGAACAACCAATCTGTTGCCGATGAGTTTCAGTCCCACTTCGGCCCCAAACGCGATGAAGTCCTTGGTGCTGCACCCTGCAGCATCTAAATCAAGCCAGCACATGTTGGTGTCGGCTGGAAGGGTAAGCTTGCCACCCAGACTGGTCCAGAGTTCCTCAATTCTCTTCGCAGTCTCGTGGGACGACTTCAAAAGACCGCCTTCACCGTTAGGTCCCTTTCCGAACGTTTCGTCCACGGCGACCCTAGCAGGAGCTGCCACCACACCAGACTGCCGGAGACCACCGCCGATAGACTTGCGCACCCAGCGGGCGTGCTTGATGTGCTCCGCGTCTCCCACAACGATGCTCCCAATCGGAGCACCAAGGCCCTTTGAGAAGCACAAGCTGACCGTGTCAAACAGTGAGCAGTATTCGGAGAGACTACCGGCTCCCGAGGCAACAGCCTCCCACATCCTGGCACCATCGCAGTGCAGCTTCAGGTTGTTCTTGCGTGCAAACTCAGCTATCCTCTTGACCTCAGCCAAGGGGGTAACCACGCCGCCGAGGGTGTTTTCCAAGCTGATGACCCTGGTGGGACAGGTATGGACATCGTCATCAAGGGCAGCGTGGGCCTCAACGTCCTCTAGTGTCAGATAAGCTCCATTACGTGGTACCACGGGCTGTATCATGGCGCCACAAAGCGAAGCAACACTGACGAATATCAATCAGTAGATGTCACATGGTACGAGAGCTGAAGGGAGATGCACGAACCCGCCTGCCTCATACTTGATGATGTGAGAGCGGTGGTCACTCAACACACTGTATGGAGGTTGCGTGAGGAGGGCCCGAAGGGCTACTTGATTGCCCATGGTCCCGGAGAGAACCAGCAGAGCGGCCTCCTTGCCAGCGAGAGCGGCAACATGAGCTTCGAGTTCCATTGTTGTGGGGTCCTCCACGAAGACGTCATCTAGCAAGCTGCAATTCTGAATGGCAGCGAGCATCGAAGCCGTTGGAGTGGTCATAGTATCACCTTGTCACTAATGTTACTATACGACGCTTTGATCAAACTGATACCTCACTTACTTCTCAGATCGAAGCCCGCGGCCCCAAGATGACCAACCCAAGCATTTTGCTCAGGGGCATCGGCAGTGCTGTTGTTCGTGTTACTGACAGCGGCTGGGGACATTGCTCCTGAAAGTGATTGGGGTGACGATGTGTGGAAAGTTGCGGCAAAGCCCGGAAGCGTGTGGCGGTTGAGGCTGTTGAAGGTCGTTGACAGCTGCGGGGTTGATCGGTTACAGGGTCGCCTCAAGGTCGCGCGCAAGGCGAATGGAACTGTGGGTGATCGATCAGTTAGTGTTCCGACTTGACTTGGCTTCAAGGGCTGAAGATGGAATGCTCTTGTTTGAGTGAACCCTAGTGCTTTTGCGTCGAGAGCGAGGATATTGGTAGAATCTCTGAGCGGGATTAAACTTACTCGTTATCCTGGCCGAATTCATCTTCTCTGGGGTCTGGCTGGGAAGAGATGCTTTCGTGGGCCGGCTGTACACAAGCTCTCCATACAGATACACACTATTACCGGCACGTTATCAGGCAAGTCCGTGGTCGGATTCGGGGTCGATGTGGAACAACCAGCGACGTTGTCATGAGTGGAGCACTCCAAGTCAGTTCCTACTGTGTGTACTCCGTCCGTAGGTACGGATGGTCTTGGAAGTCTCGAGATTTGCCGGACAACAATGACAATGGACCACGAAGGTGAAGTTCAGTTTCGTGTTACTCATGTCTCCAGTTCGAGTACCTCAAAGGTGTCATATGAAGTTACTTCTGTTTTCGCAGATATTCATGTCAGTACCTACTATCCGTAGGTATCTTTTGCTTGTGTCAATTCGGCATAGACTTGCCGGTTAACCTCAGCCTTTGAGTCTTGACGTTGTGTACCTTATCTTATCTCCATCTCCACAGGGGCTCTGCTGTGATGACATAACAGGTAATGATGTAAATGGATTGGCCAATGCGTCTCACAGAAAGATTGGAGCAAGCTACCACCCATACGCACCTACAGTACTCCGTACTCAGTATAATCTCAAATGTCGCAGAAACACCAGCTTGGCATCTTGACATCTCAGCTCTTCCTGAGGCGAAAAATGATTTTGTTTCAGGCCAACAGGTGTTTGAATCGACCAAGCTTCGAAGCCGGGGGGGTCGTTGGGCTTGGCCCGTGATGGCATTGCTGGAACTTGAAACCTGGGCGGTGGGACAGTGGCTGCTCAGACATACCAAGCTCTGAAGGCCATCCTTTACCAGGTATTGAGACGAAGGCTTCACCTTGGCTTTTGTTGCCTTTCAGGAGTAGGCGGGGGTTAGTTATTAGGGATCGTGAACCCCCCAAAAATATCCTCTTAGGTAATAGTACCAAGTATACGGCAGTGTGTAAACCCGCAACAGGCAGCCATCGTGAAAGTCTTTTCCATTGGTGTTGATGGTGGGATTCCGCCGAACGATGGATTGCGCCTCACAACTTGCGCAGGGGCGTTACTCAGCACGTTTGGTGCCATACGAGGTTGATCGTCGGTGAAGGAGCGCGAATGTGCTGACAGCTACTCCGTACCGCTGTTGACCTTGGCGCAGCAGTGCCCAGCTTTGTCTTTGTCGCGCCTTCAGCTCTTCGAGAGACGTAGGGCCATTGGGGAAGAGTGACTATGCCCCACTCGGCCTGGTAAAAGCTTCTTCTTGCTACACCCCTGTTGGCGGCACTACCCGTAGAAACTCGAGCAACTCGAACTTGCGCTAGCCCGTGCCAGCCCTGCTAGCGGCCCACACTAAGCCCTTTCGAGGGATCAGTTTTATCCGATTATATAATCGACTAAACCGTATACGGAAGGCGGTAAGTGATTATTTTCCATTTTTTACTCCTACCCAACTGCCCACTTCCACCGATTACATCACCGATTTGACCACCAATTATACTGTCAATTATACCTCCAATTACACCTCCACCACGGGCCTCGTCGACGTGCCCACGATGCCCTCACGACGGGCCCTTGCCGAGAAGGATTCGAATACGGCAAAAGTGCCAATTACACCTCCAGCAGCTAAGCGCCGCGGGCCTGCTCCTACCCCCATCAAAGACCGGAAATATACACCGCGAAGTGGCCCAATCAGGCGCCGCCAGCACCACTATACCCACGATACCAAAGTCAACGTCCTGATGTTTTTAGAGCATCACCGCGTGAGGAAGCTCGACGAAGAGTCGATTTGCCCCCCGAGGCTGCGCCAGGGCGAGACCGAGCTCCCAGGGATATACAGACGTCCCACATACCAGGAAGCCGCAGATTGGTTCAAAGTCCCTCGAAGCACGGTTATCTCCTGGTATCAGAACCGCGAGTCAATCGTCAATCGGTCCTCCAACTACGCCTACCACCCTCAGTGGCCAGAGCTCGAGACAGCGCTATACGGCGCCTTCCGCCAGCGACGAAGTGAGGGAAAGCTCGTTAGTACCAGTTGGTTCAAAAGGACCGCTAAGCGGATTTTCGCCCAGCAGAACCCGAACAGCAAACATCTTTTTATTTTTTCCCCCGGTTGGTTTCGTGGCTTCCAGAATCGTATGAGAATTACCCGACGTCGACTTACCAAACAGGCAACGAAGTTACCCACTGAGTACTTCAAAGTTGTCAACAGCTTTCTTTCCTTTATCCGACGAGTTAATCAAATGGCCCTGGCTAAGGTGAAGCGGTCTAACGTCGGAGATTTACTCGGAAGTCCAGCCCGTCGATTTCCTAACTCGCGAATTCTCAACCTCGACGAGACCCCAGTTCCTTTCGAATACCTAGACGGTTACACATACGACGACGTCGGGGCCAAAACCGTGGCTGGCAAGAGCGACCGCAGCGGTTGGGGCAAGCGGCAGGCCACATTAATACTCTACATCTTCGCCGACGGCATACAACGAATTAAACCGAAAATAATATTCCACGGCAAGCCCGCAGAGGAAGGGGGTCAATTATGGAAAAAAGAGGGCCTATTATACGCAGAAGGAGTGACAGTTGAGTTCAACAAGACTGCCTACAACAATGAGTACTTGTTCAAAAGATGGATTGAAGAGGAATTGGTAGCGCTGACTAAGGGAGACGAGTACCTATTGGTAATGGATGTCGCTTCCTTCCATAAGACAGATTCCATCCTTGCGCTATTACGTCAGCACCACATCACACCCTGCCTCATACCGCCAGGGACCACTTCCCTCCTCCAACCTCTCGATACCGCAGTCAATAAGCCCTTCAAGCAGTGGCTTTCAGAAGCAACCGACGCTTACGTACTCGACGAGGAAGAAAAAGCGCTGAATAAGCAGGAGGAGCTCAAGTGGGAGACGGGTATGAAGAGAATAATGGTCACCAAAACAGTCGAGACGGCAGCCGCTAAATTGGCCCACGAGAAGGGCTCAATGGTCAGCCAGGCCTTCCTGCAGTGCGGAATATCTATTCGGCCCGATGGCAGCCAGGTCGACGAGATCCGGATCAAAGACGTGCCCGCCGAGGCCATCGATTACACTGGGTGGGAGCTCTTCGACGTAGAAGCCCACATTGAGCAGGAGACGCTGCAAGAGGAGATTCCAGACTTCGCTGTTCTGAACGACGGGTTAGAGTACATTTTCACAGCAGAGGAAGTCCGTGATGGCATCAATGGGCAGTTCGTCGACCCGACAGTCCAACCGCCGTATGAATAGGGGCCCGTTGGAGGCAGTGGGCCAGGGGACAGTCAGGGGCTCGGTTGCTTACGTACGACTGCTTCCAATTGACACTTTTGCCCTTTTTGCCAATTCGACGAGAAAAGCTCAAAACCGACGAGAAAGCCAAAATAATTATTGAATTATATCAATTGTGGGTCCGGCCTCGACGGCGAGCTCTCATTGGTCAGATCGATCGAAATGTTAACCTACGCCAAAAATAGGTGGCGGCCGCATTTAACCACTTTAGGCAGTATTACGATTCTGCCAGAGCGCTAGCAGGGCTGGCACGGGCTAGCGCAAGTTCGAGTTGCTCGAGTTTCTACGGTAATCACGCAGGACGCCAGCCCCTGCTTCTCATCTTTCCCGTTCACACTACCCACGCGCCACGGAACCACGGATGTTCCTGCCTTTTTTGCGCTCATCATGCAGTTCAATTTCCTTCTCAGGGCAGGATGAGTCCTGTTAGCCATCGAGAGAATGATCCTTCCAGGGTGGGCTGAGAGCATCGACGTGTTCTCCCCAGACGACCGAATCTTTCACCATTCCTAGGCTCGCTCGTCTGATCTACGAATACCGCCATACGAATAGAGTTGTCTTCTCGGCGTTTCCAAACAGCAGACACAAGTACACTAGCTTTGGCCCCACCCTTAACCCTGGGCTCATCAACGTCAAAGATGGAAGGACGGACGGACGGTATCTCAACGTGCCGGCCAAGTTTACCATTCCTCCGAACACTCCTGGACACACGCACAACTGTAGCTTGGGTGGGCACTTGTGTGCAAGTACAAGACACGGGAGACTCACACCCACCTCGAGCTGAGAGGACATGGTGCCGCCTTCAACCCAATTCCAGGGGCTCCCTTGGTTTGTATAAACTATGAAGCGCCCGCCATCGCGCTATTAGTGCTACCTTTGTGGTAACCTAAACTTGCCCATAGCTGAGCTATTCCCCTGTAATTCGCCCAGCTAGAGTGTGCCAATTTGACCAGAACTTCTGTCTACCTTGCTGTAAAACGTTTCTTTCATTTGATGAAGCATGTGTGCTTTCTTGACTTTGCTTCACTTTGCGTCAGCTCGCCCCCCCACGCTCCCTCCTTTGGCATCTCTAGCCAGTTCACATTTCAAAGGCAGGTGACACCGGTGCTCGAACCTGTCCGAGCCTCGACGTAATCGTGCACTTTATATACCTGCCGGTTCCCCCTGGTATCCTGGGGTTTGCACACTTCCCGGGTTTTGAAGAAATGCGACAAGGCTACTCCCGTCAACAAACGATCCGTGGCCCGCATTCTCTCATCTGAGTAGCTCTGCAAAGCGTGTCTTCCTCGTACTGCCTTCTGGCTAGGATTTCCTTTCACGCTTCGACCAGTAGCGCCGGCCGAGGGTGGACGCTGCACTCGCCGTATCTCGAATCCGCTCAGCAACTTTTGTTTCGAGAGGTGAAACGTAACAGCCTTGCCGCGACGACTCAAGACTAGAAGAACGTCTGCCCTTCCTACGCAGGTCGCCATCTGTCAACCAATACCTAGCCTAATCGACACGATGGTACTCCAATGGCACGTTGGCTCTCCTGTCATTCTGAAACTCTTGTTGGCGATAACGATCTGCATTATTTTATACTTCAGCCAACATCCAGCACTTGACAGATTCGACCATCGCATTTCGAGCCTCGACCTGTCCCTCAAGCTACCCAAGAGCGGTCTGAACTTCGGCAACAAGAGCGACCACCACGGTTTTTACTCCTCCGATGCCGCAGGCAAGTTTTGCAAGCACCACGGTTACCCCGTCTTCACGCCTCAGTCAGAGACTGGCCAACGGAAGGTATACGACCTGTTCATGGTCAACACAGAGCTCGACTGGATGGAGATCCGCTTGAACTCTACTTACAACTACGTTGACTACTTTGTCATCGTTGAATCTCCAAAGACCTTTACTGGCAGGCCCAAGCCACTCACAATCAAGGAGAACTGGGACCGGTTCAAGCCTTACCACGACAAGCTTATCTATCACGAGCTCGAATTTCCGTCAGACTTCAGCCCGAGAAGGTCGTGGGACTACGAAGACTTACAGCGCAACGCCATGTACACCCAAGTATTGCCCAGGCTCGTTGGCAAGCAGGCCCCGGTATACGGAGACGTTATCCTCGTCGCCGACGTGGACGAAATTGCTCGGCCGGAGACACTCTTGGTACTGCGAACATGTCAATTTCCCCGCCGCCTCACCTTGAGGAGCCGCTTTTACTATTACAGCTTCCAGTTCCTACACACAGGACCCGAGTGGGAACACCCGCAAGCCACCTACTACCAGGGCTCACGCACACTCCTGCCGGCGAACCTCCGAATGGGAGACGGGGGTTTCAAGCCCCTTTACGATCTCGAGAAGGCGAATCTCGCAAACGCCTGCTGGCACTGCTCAAGCTGCTTTGCCACCGTTGATGAGTTCCTCACCAAGATGTCGTCCTTCTCCCATGAATGGATGAATGGCGAAAGGTTCCGAAATAAGGACCGTATAGCGGACGCCATCAGGAACGGAAAGGACCTGTGGGGGCGGGATGTTGACCAGTTCGTGCGT